CTTACCCCCTTTCTCTCCAATGAATGGCTCCCATTTAGCCGCTGTGATGACCAGAATGATACCGAGAATAAACCATTCTTTTTTCAATCTGTCCAGTAGGCCCATTCTCTTGCTGTCCTCCTCTTTGTACTATAAACAATGTGTTAAAATTCCACCATAGAATGTGACAGCTTCTTTGGTACACAGTTGTTACTGGCATGCAGCAGGTCCGGTGTCTGAGCTAAAATACACACACAGGCGGCTTTGGAACAAGAGATCGATTCATTTCAACAGGGCAGAGCACTAGTATCCAGCGGTAAGGAAGTCTCCCAGTGAGCCGCCATCATTACCACGCAACCTAGAATACTGCCGCATGCCGCTTCCCAGCTCAGCTCTCCCAAGCTCTGCAGCAGCAGCCGCCCGCTACCAGGGTTCTACAGGGAGAACGAAGGTTGAACTGGGCGTTCTAACGGTGGAATGTTAAGGCGATGTCACAGAGCAGCACGATGTTCCAATGGGCGCAAATCTGGACTGCACTCCTAGCCCTAGGCAGTGCTGTGTCTCCCAGCACGGATTGCCCACTAGCCCTCAGTTTAACAGGGCTACCAGTGATGGCTAACAGGTCACCCCTGGTCCTCTGGGCTGGAGCAAAGTGCAGGTGCTCTGGCTCTGACTTCACAGTGTTCCCTATGACGTACGGAGGAGGGTTTTCGTGTGTTCTCCTGTTTATCTCCTCTGTTACATTCATATGCACGCTGAATACCCCCTCCCTAATCCCATACGCATCACATTTCTGAAAAGAAACAATTACACTGGGGTGTGTATAACTCAGGGATAATGTCCAGTGAACATTTACTGTGGAGTATTTCTTAGCAAAGTTACAACCATACCCCTGTATACACCTCCACAAAGTATGTGGACCTTGCAGGTATGCAGGAAAGCATTGCAACAAAAACAGAGAATATGAGAACTCTGAGAAAGGACAACGCTTAAAGGAGCTTACCGTTCGGTAAATCCCAGCTCTGGTCTTAAAATAGTTTTTGCTTTTTGTTGCATTCCAGGAAAGCATGCCCGATGTGGCATTTTGAATCCCACGTCAAGTGCCCGGCATGTTTGGGTGGTGGGCTCAAACTTTTTGTGCTGCTATTGGGACTTTTACTCCAGTTCGGTTATTCGATGACTTTGGTGGGAATTCAAAGAGAATTTCACTTTTAAAGTGAAAATAACTCCACTGGGAAAATTGTCCAAGTCTGTTTCTTTACTTGTTTGGCTACTTTGGCCTTTAATGTAAAGTTCACTTTATATTTTAAACATTTCTAACCCTGTAAGTGTGTAAATGAAAAGATAACAAAATGTAGTTTGAGTGCCTACATTTCTTGCAACAATGCCTGAGAGAGCCTGCAAAAGAGAATCATATTAGAGCTATATAGTACAATGCAGAAATAAGTCTACTGTACTGGGAATATTGTATCAAAGGGCTGATTCTGTCATAAGTTTAAATCCTGGTACATACCATCTTTAAAGTGCAAACATATTCTATAGTACTGTATGATGAGTAAACAAAGTGAAATTTAAAAAAATTGTAACAATGCAGGTGAAGTAAAAAGAGAAGATGAGGCTAATGTCATTGAAATGGGCTGGGTGCAGTGTCCCTGTTCTCAATAAGTGGCACTGTCACACCCCTGAAAAATAAATGACATACTAATTTTACTGTGTTATATTGACAAATTTTCACTGAAATTCCAACCCAGTCAAGAATTATACAGAAACAATATCATTCCCTATGATTTACTTTGTCTCTGTATATTTCCACCGCCTGACATTCTTAGACTCTGGGCAAGCTATAGTGTCAATTCCGACAGCTGTCACCAGTGAGATCTGCAGGACAGGAAATTTGCTCTGTTTATGGAGCATCTTGCGGAAAGATGGTGGCAAGGGACTGGTAAATCTCATCTTTACCGGCAACTGGACTCCCAGCGTCAATGTCACTATCGTTGGTCTTTGCAAATTTAGTAAAGTTCCCAGGCGATGACAATGCCGCTTTAGAAGGACACTATAGTCACTAAGACTACTTCATCTCATTGAAGTGGCCTGGGTGCAGTGTCCCTGTCACACTTAGTCCTGCAGTGTAAATCATTGCAGTTTTAGAGAAACTGCAATAATTATCTTGCAGGACTAAGACAGAGGCACTTCCTTAATGCTAACGGACATGGGGACATCAGTGAAATCCCCATAAGAAAGCATTTAGGTAATGCTTTGCTATAGGGAGGGCCTTTTGAGATTGTCGGCAATGTTTACCTTAAAGAGGTAAGACTGCCTCTACTAGAGGCGCCTGTAGTTGACTGGAGTTTGGCTCCATGAAATGATGCTAAACTTCCTCATGCATTGCATGAGGACATCCAGCATGTTGAAAATCCTCACAGCATGCACATTAGGTTCCACCCATCTGCTGACATCTGAGGAGTAGCCTGACCTAGCGCCGAGGGAAATTGTTGCTGGAATCAAGTAAGTGAATAAAGATACTGACTGTACTTTCTCACTGGGATTCATTCTGCCCCTGGGGAGGGGTACCGACAGGGCCGGCCCGTCCATTGACCGCAGTGGAGCCATGGCTCTAGGCGGCACTCTCACAGGGGCGGCATTTTGTCATTATCTAAAAGAATAATAACCATTTGGGAAAAGCCTTCGTTTTTCCCAATCAGCCGCTCCCCAGGGCTGCCCTAAATTCTAGTATGTCAGGGGTGTCGTGAGGGTTTTGGGAAGGTTCAGCACTGAAGTTCCGGTGCATTACCTGCAGTGCGAGCCGGAACTTCAGTGCTCACTTTGCTGTAGGACGGGCAGAGCAGCAGAATCCCACTCCGTGTCTGACATGCTGCATGTTGACCACCCATATGGCAAAACCGCAAGACACAGAGCTCCCTAATGCAGGAGCAGGAGCCTGAAACCCGTCAGACAAGAGTCAGGCAGCAGCGGTGGGGACGTGAGGAGCAGGGTCAGGGTAAGTTTCATGTACACAGTGTGTTGCACATATAGTAAGCCAATCCCAGCACACTCACAGACACACAATACTTCACCCCCAGCACTCACACAGACACACTACATCCCCAGTACACTCATAGACCCACACTTCACCCCAGCACACATACACACAGATACACACTTCACCACCATCACCCATAGACACATTTCACCCCCAGCATACACAAACACACTGGATCTCCAATGCATCCCCAGCACACACAGACTCACAGTGCATCTCCAGCACACACAAACATACATATCACTCCCAACACACACTGCATCCCCAGCACACACACAAACACACATATCACCCCCAGCACACACACTTCACTCAAGCACAAATAAAGACACTGCACAAACACACATACAAACTACATTCCTAGCATACACACTGCATCCAAAAGCACATACACACAATACATTGCCTTCACACACACTAAATCCCTTATCTACATACCCTATATTATTATACATCACAAACACACACTACTTCATCAGCACACACAGTATATTCATTACATACACACTGCGTCCCCAACAAAAACACACTACCTCCCCTACACACACACACAGTACCTGCCATACAAATACAACATCCTCTATACACATAGTGATGGAATCTACTCTGCACAAACACTCACACTACAGTAACACAAATCTATCATCAATAAACCTACAAATTCCAAATGGCAAAACATAAATGCTGGTCTTCCAAAAACAGCATCCTGTGTTATTAAATCACAGTGAGAAGACACTGAACGTCCGTAGGAAAGCATTGAGTAATGCTTTCCTATGGGCGGTTTGAATGCGCGTGCACCTCTTGACGCGCATGCACATTCGGAGCTGAGAGGCGGAGGGATCCCCAGCGCCAAGGGAGTCCAGCGCTGGGGGAAGGTAAGTGCTGAAGGCACACACACTGTCACGAACAGATGCATACACACTAGCTAACAGACACACACATTTACTGGCAGAGACACACTCAGCGACAGACATACATACACACTCACAAAACATACACTCTCACTGACAAACACACATTCACTAACAGACATACACAAACACACTCAGTAACAGACACACAGTAACACACTCACTAGCAGACACACACTCAATAACAGACACACTCACTGACACTCACTAGCAGACACACACTCTGACACACACAAACACACACACACACTAACGCACACTAACACACACGCTAACACTAACACACACACACATGTTTTTTTTTTAATTTAAACAGCCTCCTTACCTGTGGGAGAGCTGAGGGGATTCCCTGGGGTCCAGTGGTATCACTGGGCGGGCTGGCTGTCTGGGTGGTGGGAGCGCGAGGGAGCACTCTCCCCTGAGTGCTGCCTCTTCAGCTCCGTCGCGTGCCACGTACTGATGCCGGAGCCGGAAGATGACGTCATCTTCCGGCTCCGGTATCAGTGCACTGCTCGAGGGAGCTGAAGAGGCAGCACTCAGGGGAGAGTGCTCCCTCGGGCGCCCGCCAGCCCGGTGATACCAGGGCCAGCCTCTGGGGGCCATGAGGTGGCCGGCTCCTGGGCCCCCCCAGGAGAAGAGGCTGGCCACACTGGGGCAGGGCGACCCAGGTATGTACGCCACTGACTGAAATGGAAAAATCAATCAATACATTGATTATTTCTTTGTGTATCTGCCCCAGGCCAAATCAGTGAAACAGTGCGTGCACGCTCCCCGAAGTAATTCACACCAGACACAGGTTCCAGGTTGTTGAATAACTTGAGGAAAAGTTTATTCAGAGGGCACGGCAGGTCCCTTTTAAAGCAAAATTACATCATAAGCATTGTCAGAGATAACATGGAATAATACATCAAAAATTGGTTAGGTGTTAAGTGGTCTTCCTAATGCTCTGCCTACTGAGGGTGATGTCACCAGGACCATGAGGGTCTCCCACGGTTTCCTGGCGCCATCTTGCTGCACGAGGTAGTTAGTCGGTGTTAAAGGGGAGGGGAGGAGGGGTTAGAAGCTTCTAGCAGCCATCTTGATTATAACATGTGTGTATAGCTTTTTATGTAGCATATCGTGAAATGGGTAAATAGACATTTTTACTAACTAGGAAATATGTGCAGACCTTATTTCCACAACAGTCCCCCCTAAAATGGCTATTTACCATGACAACTGCCACTGTCCCTAGTGTATCCCTAGCCGCCTGCAGCTCATCTGTCTTAACAAGCATCGAACTCTTCACTCCGTGGGTAACCCGCGGTGGCTAGTCCACCACATCTCCGCACGTGAGACTTGCCCGTAAAGACAGACGCTTTCCCTACACTGTCCCTACAGGAATGCAGTTGTCTGTTTGAACTGATGTGACTGAAGGGGTGTATGTGGAGTGTCACTTTTGAGGTCTGTGATGTCTTGGTGTAGGAAAGTAGGAGTCACGTCATCTATAGTCTTCCCTACTGCTTTCTGTAAGTACTTCTGTATGCAAGGGAGCACACAACAGGTTAGGAATAAGAAGATGATAATCATTATAAGAACAGCCGTTCCTACCTGGAATAGGGTCCTTTGCCAACCATTCATCCACCCAAACCATCTGTCTCAAGTGTCAGTGGCTCCTGAGTTCTTCTTTAGCTCATCAGAAAGGCTATCTAGCTTCTCTATGGCCATAGTTACCTTACCATTGGGCCCAGTGTTGTCTGGAATGAATGTGCAGCATGTCATAGTTTCAGGGAGGATCTTACACACACCCCCTTTCTCAGCCAAAATCATATCTAGGGCCATTCTGTTCTGAAATGTCATTTTGGGTGGTGGCTTGTAACTGTTCCGCCAGGCCCTGTAGGGCATCCCTAGTATAGTTGACAAAGCGCTGTTGATTATAGTAAATGTAGTTAATCCAATTGACATTCTTATTGGCAGTTATCATTGGTATTAAGGATTCAAATCCTGCTGCCACTTCATCCCTTGCTTTGAATTCGCTAGGCACCCCCCTTGGCACACCAATGGCATCAATATATACATGGGGGTCGAAGCTCCCTCGGATGGGGGCCTCACGTCTAGTTCTAGAATGTACGTGTGTGTGATCTAGTGTGTTGTGGCTACCGTCTGGAATAATGTGGATGGGCATTATAACTTTGGTCAGGGCACACTCCCCCCACCATTGCCCAGCTAGTTGGGACCTCAATTGTCTGTCACCACATAACCAATAGATATCTCCGATTGTCTTTGCATGATTCATCAGCAGTGATACAGGCGGGCTATGGTAGGTTGAGCAATATCCAGATGGGAATTTGCCCAGATACACACCAGTATTCTTGGGTATTGAATAACATGTGTAATTACCTGGATATACTGTGACTCCATCGGGTGGCCTGACATATCCATGAGTGATTGGATAAACTCTCTTCCATGATTCACATGTTGAGGAATTCGTGGTGGACTGTGCATAGAGGCTTAATACACATAATTCTACTTCAGGGGGTAAACTTAGAGGTACCGTACCCAGATGGGGCCTGGCTCCTCCACATACATAGCAATTAGTTTTATTGTGTGAGTTGGCATTGTACCTCATCTACTCTAACCACAAATTAGTGTCTGAAAACCCAGTCTCCACTGCCATAGTGTCTTCAAAGGTGGGGTTGGCTATTGCTACCATGTCATGTAAAGTCTTGATATGTGGTTTCAGCGGATTAATGGTCATGTGGGTGGTTCCTACCCAGTCTGGTGAGGTGAGCATGTCCTGTAGATAGAATGTCCCCAGTCTATTATATGAGCCACCTCCCTTCCAGTACATTCCCATTACATATTCCCCTGCGTCTTTTGGGCTGGGATGCTCTATATTCAAGGTAAGTTTAATGGGAGTTGACCCGATAGGTTTGCTTAAGGTCATTCTGGAGAGTAGAGGTTTTCCGTCTTTGTCAATTCTGTCTAATGCACTCTGTGGTCTATAGCCCCATGGTCTACCCGTGTTCCACCCGGCGGCTTTCCATGAACTACAATGATGTCCCCAAACTCCTCCAGTCACACAAATGTATAGATCCTTTTTGCTAGGTATGTCTTTGTATATGGCTGCATATTGTGTTTGTGGAAAGGTGCAAACAACTATGTCACAGTAGTCAAAGGTATATGTAGCTACATCTGTGTTAGAAGAATTGTACCAGAAAGTGTAAACATGATTATCTTTGGTTATGGCCACTTGTTGGGCCCAGGCAAAGTGTAGCAGCATAAGAAAACACAAGACACATAACAAATTCATATTTCAGCAGGAGTAGCCTCTTCTGGAGTAGGCACTTTCTTGCAATGCGAGGCGTGTATCCAAGAACTCTTTCCGGCTAGTTTAACTGACGTTGCTGTGATCAGGAGCACTTGATAAGGGCCATCAAATCTTGGCTCTAGGGTGTGTTTCCTGAGAAACTTCTTGACCATAACCCAATCACCGGGGAGCAGCTTGTGTGTACCTGTATTCGACTCAGGATCTGGAATAGAAGAAAACACTTGGGCATGTATATTGGTCAAGGCATGTGAGAGGGCAGTCACATAGTCTACCATAGCGTCTGACTGGATCTGAAGTTGTTGAGGGAAATAACAACCTAGCCTGGGTGCTGTACCAAACAAAATCTCATAAGGTGATAGGCTATATTTTCCCCCAGGAGTGTACCTTACGCTAAACAACGCTAATGGGAGACTCTCGAGCCAGGGCATGTTAGTTTCCTGTGACATTTTAAGCATTCTGGCTTTCAAAGTGCCATTCATGCGTTCTACCTTAGCACTACTCTGTGGATGATATGGTGTGTGGAATGCAAGGGTCACCCCCAGTGCTGACCAGACTTCCCGTGTCAATGAGGCAGTAAAGGAGGTCCCTTGGTCACTTTCAATCACTTCTGGAACTCCATATCTGCAAACAATTTCCGTCAAAAGGTACTTGGCCGTAGTCCTTGCGGTGAGATTAGTCACTGGGAAGGCCTCTGGCCATCCTGAAAACATGTCCACTATGACCAGTGCGTATTCATAACGTCCACTCTTTGGCATTTGAATATGGTCAATCTGAATCCTCTGAAAGGGGTACTGTGGCTTGGCCAGGTGATTAGGTGCGGTCTTAATAATCTTTCCAGGGTTACATTTAGCGCATATTGTGCAGCATCTACAGTAATTCTGTGTTAAGGTAGTGATGCCTGGTGCTTCAAAATACTTGTCAATCAATGAGTTCATCAGATGTTTTGACAAGTGGGCTGGCCCGTGGGCCCACTGGACCACGGCTGGATACATATTTCTGGGTAGGCAAAACTTGAGATTGACAGTGTAAACATCATCACGGAAAACAGCTCCTTTGTTCTTCCAACTTTGTTTCTCCTGGGGAGTAGCAGCTGCTTGTTGTTCCTTTAGAAGCTTAAGATCTGTAGGCAATGTCTGCATAGTGTATATGGGTACTGTGTCTGTGGCCACTCTTCTGTCCACTTCCCATCCTTGTCGTGCTGCTTCCTTAGCCGCCTGATCAGCTAAGTGGTTGCCCCGTGCTTCTTCTGAGTCTAGCCTTCCGTGGGCTTTTACTTTTAATACCGCCACCTCTGCTGGAAGTTCTAAAGCATCCATCAGCTCTGTGATGGCTGCCCCATGTTTCACTGGGGTACCGGTAGCTGTAAGAAATCCTCTTGTTTTCCAAATTAGACCAAAGTCATGTGCTACTCCCAGGGAATAGCTTGAGTCTGTATAGATATTGACATGTAGGCCTTCAGACAATTTGCAGGCCACAGTTAGGGCTATTAGCTCGGCTTCTTGAGCAGACTTGGTTGGTTGTAGGGCAGCTGCTTGTAATACTTGACATCCTGTGGTGACTGCATACCCAGTATGGTATTGTCCCTGTTCATCAGCAAATCTTGAGCCGTCCACAAACAGTGTTTGGTCTGGGTTAAGTAATGCAGCTTCATAGACAGTTGGCAGGTGCGTAGTTTCCATTTTCATTTGTTCAAAACAATCATGGGGAATATCAAGGTCACAGTCCATGATGAGTGGGTCCTCACAGACTTCTGTGTGGTATCTGGAGTACCCTGCTGTACAGTAATTAATAGTCTTTTTGCTGATCCCCATAGAGGTCAGTTGTTCTTGGTTCATTTGACTCCAGGTCTTGGCCATCGGGCCTAGGCCTTTCCATGAGATGTCAGGGGATTTAGTCTGGGATATGTGTGGGACAGCTGTTTCGGTAGAGATGTGTCACATTCTCTGGGAGATGGACTAAGATGAGCATGGTACCTGTGGAATCCCATAACAAGTCAGTCAAAGTAATTGGAATTTCCTTGAGTTGGAACAGTTCTTCCTCATAGTTCATATCAGGGCCTGGACTGTCCTTAAACCACAAGGTGCAGTGGAGTAAAGTTTCTAGTTGTTCATCATGTGGGGGTGCAAGGGCAGGCAACTGCAAATCTGCTCAAACCTCTGGGTTGATGTCCAAGCTATACCAATACTGCACAATTCCCCCCTTGGGAAGTGGCAGAAGAGTGGCCGGGTTCAGGGAGAGACACCGCTGAAGTTTCACATTGTCAGGTAACAGTAAAGAGGTTTGTAGGCGAAGGTGACGTTGTGAGGAAAGGTGCTTAGGCTGGACTTGTTGGAGAATTGCGGAAATGTCGTGAGGGGCCAACACCATGAGGTGGTGACCGAGAACAAAATCATTAGTCTTGTCCAAGAGGGCACTGGCAGCAAACACCGCTCTGAGGCTGGAGGGACTACCCCTAGCAACAGGGTCAAGCATGCAGGAGAAATACCCAATAGGCCGCTGTCTTGAGCCATGTTTTTGGGTAAGGACACCGGAAGCATGTCCAGACTTTTCAGAGACAAACAAATTGAAAGGCAACTGGTAGTTTGGAAGGCCCAAGGCAGGTGCTGAAGCAATAGCTCTCTTCAGACTGTGAAAACAAGCAATAGCATCTTCAGAGAGATTGAAGGGCTCACTCCTGAGGGTGTCATAGGGTGGCTGCATGAGCTTCGAGGCTTCGGGTATCCAGGATCTGCAGTATGTGATGAGGCCCAGAAAGGCATGAAGAGTCTGGTGTGCTGCAGGTAGTGGGAGTTGCAAGATCGCTTGTACACGTTGTGAAGTTAAATGTCTGGTGCCATGGGAAAGACAATGTCCCAAGAAGACCACTGAGGGCCGGCACCATTGCAGCTTGTATTTGGAGACTTTGCAACCAGCTTCAGCGAGGAAACATAGGAGGTCCTCTGAGTCACGCTCTTCAGTGTGAAGATCTGGAGCACAGAGAAGGAGATCATCGACATATTGGAGAAGAACAACATCAGAGTGAGATTTCTGCCATGGTTCCAGTACCAGAGACATGGAACGGGCAAACTGTGTGGGGGAATTCTGGGCCCCCTGAGGCATGACAGTCCAGGTATATTGTTGTCCTTCGTGGGTAAAAGCGAAGAGGAAGCGACAGGAAGGGTCTAGTGGCACACTGAAAAATGCATTAGCCAGATCCACCACAGTGAATACTGTGGCAGTAGGTGGGACCTGAGACAGGAGCGTGTGTGGATTGGGAACAATGGCAGTATCTTTGACAGTTACTTCATTGACAGCACGAAGATCCTGGACCATCCGGTATTGGTCAGGTTGGCCTTTGGCAGTTCTCTTCTTGACAGGGAAAAGAGGAGTGTTACATGGAGACACATACTTAATAAGTGCACCTTTGGCGAGTAGGCTTTCAACTTGTTTAGTGATAGCTTCAGCTTGTGCAGGTTTCAGAGGATACTGTGGTCTACGTGGGGGTAACGCTCCTGGCAGGAGCTTGACCACAACGGGGGGCACCTGTAGACGTCCGATGTCATCCGGGCCGGTGGACCAAAGTTTTTGTGGGATTCGGTCCAGAGCACTGAGGGTTTGTTGGACCCGTGAATTCCCTGTGGAGGCAGTGAGGTTTAACAATATGGGCAGTGAGCAGAGTACAGAGGTGTCTTTTTGTGATAAGGGTGTGGTTAACTGGACCTGACCATCAGCAGTAAAGGTAATAGAAGCCTGGAGCCGAGAAAGAACATCAGCACTCAAGAGGTTAATGGGACAGGTAGAAGAAACAACAAATCTGGAGAGTATGTGTGAACCAACAAGCAGAAGTTTAGTGAGGGGGCTACTGCGGGGTGTACCATCCACCCCAACACAGGAGACATCGGTGTCCGATAAAAAGGAGGGGTCAGGCAGGTCTTGTTCCCTAAGAACACTACGGGCTGCACCTGTGTCAACCAGGAAGGTAGTTGGATGGCTCTCTACAGGGAGAACTACAGTAGCTAAGGGCCCTCCCCCCCTCCCCTGCAGACACTGCCATGGCAGGGGTTGCTGACACAGGCTTGCCGGTTACCTATTGCAATAAATCTAAATGGGCCTGGTCGGGTCCTTGGTACCAGCGGGAAGAAGTGGGAGGGTGTCTGGGCTGCATAGTAGGACGGGCAGGGCGGTTTTGTCGTGGTAGGGGCTGATTTTCTTGGAAATCATCTGTGTCAAACCCATCAGCAGGAGCTGGAGGGTATGCACGGGCTTCTAAAGCGGGGGGCCGGGCCTGTGTGTATTCAGGAGGAGGAGGGGGAAGCTGAGAAAACTGTAGGTGAGGCAGGGCAGGGAGGTAACCTGTGGAGGGGAAGCTAAAGCTGGAGACATGTGGACTAGTGTACCGGGGAATTTGCGGGCGGAACACTCTGGGGTGAGGGCAGTCTCTTTTGAAGTGGCCGGCCTGATTACAGTTAAATCAAGTCCTTATTGTCGTGAGGGCCCGGTCCCGGGAAGAGGGAACAGATGCAGGAAGGGTTTGGGGCTGCTGAGTGTATTGTTGAGTTAATACCTGGGGAACATGGGTAGAACCAGTAATTGGTGTGGGTGTAGTAAACATCAGTGGGCTAGCTCTCCTTCGTGTTGGCTATAAGACTGATTCTAAACCCTTGGCTACCAACAGGAGTGTGTCAAGTGGAATAATCCTGTACTCTGGGCGAGATAAAATTAACCCCTTACGAATGTGTTCCTTAAGACCAGCCACAAAGGCTGCAGATAACATCTGGGTGTGTGCTTTGTTATAGGTACTGAACCCTAAGTCTGAGAAAGTCTGAGTCAACCTAGAATGATATTTCTCAACAGTCTCAAGTTTTTCCTGTATAATGTCATTTATACAAGTAGCCTGATCAGCTAGTTTATCCTGTGCCCAAGCTCGGAGTTGTTCACAGAAGATTATACCAGAACGAAAATCTGTATCAGAAGTGAGTGGAGCATCATTAAAGCTCCTCGCCATGATTGGCCAGTATGCATCCCCAGCTTAAATTTCACACAAACTTAGAAGATCCCGCCATGCAGCAGAATAAGTTTTCCGAATCTGAGCCATTCTGCGGAAAAAGGGCATGGGATGCTTTTCAGGATCAGGGAGTGAGGTTACAAGGGTAGCGGCTTGGGAGGGGTTGAACGTGACATACATGGGCGGTGCACCATCTGCTCCAGGGTTAACCTGAGTATAACCTCGGGGAATAGAGTGCTGTTGGGGGAGTCTGTTTCCCCCTGGGCGAGGTGAATCCTGTTCTTCCACATCTATCTCCTCGGGTGCAGCTGGGCCGCGGTGAGGAGTAGTCTCGGGGGAAGCCGTGGCTGGGGCGGCAGGTAGGCCGGTGACGGGTGAGGTGGTTGGGTGGAACCCCGAGGCCTGGGGAGAAACGCCCACTGCATAGGGTTCGTCTGACGTTACCGACACATCAGAACCAACCACCATGATTGGGTAACTAGAGTTGGCGGGGGGGGTACAAGGAACCAATGCCATGGATGGGGAGGCTGTGGGGGCCGGCTGGGATGGGCGTGATAGGTGAGTATTAAGGACGTGAGCAAGGGCAGAGATTGGATCGGAAGGTTCAGGGCGGGCAACAGGAGGCGGGGAAGGGGTTGGGGGATCAGGAGAAGGAGGTGGAGGAGGTGACAAATCTGTGGGAGGCGGAGTAGGGACAGCAGAATTGACCAAGGATGTAACAGCGGAGAGGAGGGTGGAGATGGAGGTGGACAGGTCACTGGCGGTGGTTGGTTCGGGAGTCACTGGGGGAGGGGTAGGAAGGGCGGAGACAGGGGGCTGGGTTGCAGCAGTGAGAGCGGAGAGGAGGGACGACAAATCGGCCGGGAGGGAAAGAGACAACGAGGCAGAAGGATGTGAAGTAGTAGGGGCGGGTGTATCAGGAGGCGGTGGAGACGTGTGAGTGGTGGGCGGATCAACCTGGAGAGTGGGAGGGGTGCCTGGGAGTGTTACAGAAGGGAGGGACAAGGCAGAGAGGGCGGTTACTAGTGATGTAAGATCAATGGAAATAGGAGAGGTAGAGGAAGGGCCAGCAGCGGCAGTGTGTGTGGAAGCAGAGGCGGGGGAAACGGAATCAGTAGGCTGGGTAAGGTTCATGAGAGTAGAGAGCAGGGATGAGGGATCGCTAGAAGGAGAAGAGAAAGAAGTCAGAGGGGATAAGGAGGTTGAGGTTGCGGGACGGGTTAGTTTTGAAATTGAAAAATTTTGAAATGAGAAGAGGGAGGTAAGGTCTGATGGAGATGGAGAAGGGGTAGGAAGGGCAAGAGGAGGAGGAGGAGAGGGATCAGGAGGTACGGGAGGAAAGACAGGCGAAGTGGGGGTAGTGGGTTGAGTAGAGGATGAAAGAATGGAGAGAAGAGAAGAAAGGTCCGGAGGTGGAAGAGGAGAGGGATCAGCGGGAGGACAAGGGTCTGGGGGATCTGGAGGAGTGCGTTGGGTAAGGGTCGAGAGGGCAGAGAGCAGGGACGAGAGATCAGTGGATGGAGACGGGTGAGCGGGCGTCTCTGGGGAGGGGTCAGTCGGGGTGGAGAGGGGAAGAGAGGAGGCGGGGACCTCTGTGGGCGGGGTAGGAGCTGATGGGACAGGATCCGGACTAGGGGCTGGGGTGGAGGACAGGGAGGCGGGGGAATGTCAATGGACGTAACAGGGGGAGGGGCGGGGGATGGGGCCTGATCGGGAATGGGCTGGAGCATAGGGGTGGGTGGGAACGTATGGAGTGGCACAGGATAATAGTAAGCACCATCGGCTCCGAGCACGGGGCACAGGGGGGTGGGGGCTGGAGCCACACCTCCAGAGGGTGGAGTCTGAGCAATGATGGGGGAAGCAGGGCAGGAGTTAATTGTCACGCTCTGGGCGCCATCATAGGGCGGTGGCTGGGAGACAGTGGAAGAAACATCATCATTGTTAACATTCCTATGGTACACATGTACAATTTGTCCTTCGAAGTCTAATTCCTCCTCAATCCATCCCTCCCGTTTGAGACCTCTAGCTACTCGATACCAAGCCTCTACAGCCTTTGTAAGCCCATTATCCAATAGCAATCCCTCCTTATCTATAAGCAATTTCCTCCAAAACTCAGGTTGTAATCTCCTACTGGGCGACATCTGGAAACCACACACCTTAGCAATCTTTTTAATCTTTAGCATAGCATCTTCCCCCGCCCTTTCTTTCACAATGTCACAAGCCAACAATCCCTTAGCAGGTTTAGCATGTTCCTGCCCCATCTTGATCAAACAGAGTGAGCCACGTGTAAGGGACAGATATACAGAGAAGAAGAAAGAGGAATGTCTACAGTGCTCGACTGCCACGAGGACTTGAGTCCCGTGCGTCTTCCCAAAACGTAGACTAGTCACGAGGGTCCTCCCACCCGAGGTGGTGGCCACGGACCGGAGCGAGCGAGCGTGGGTGACTAACACAGCTCTGGGCAACAAACACAGGAGAGATAAAGGACAAATGAAAAGATGAATGTGGCTACACTAACAAGAAGACATTTACAGAAATCACACACATAGATATGAGTGTAAACCCCTGAATCCAGAACTAGCCACACAACACACACACACACACCGAGGGTACCCGCACTGTAACAGCAGTTGAATAAAAACCACAAAATGACAGAAAGTAAAATGGCCATGTACATGTTAACACCACCAGTACCAAATATTCAAAAATGCAGCAATCTCCAGCCCTTTCACACCAGGCTGGCCCCCTGTAACACAATTATTAATGAAACACAGCAATAGTCAAGCTAAATCCCAGCCCCACTGGCTGCACTAAAATCCCAGCCCCACCGGCTGTAACAAAATCCCAGCTCCACCGGCTGTACTAAAATCCCAGCCCCACCGGCTGTAACAAAATCCCAGCCCCACCGGCTGTAACAAAAATCCCAGCCCCACCGGCTGTAACAAAAATCCCAGCCCCACCGGCTGTAACAAAATCCCAGCCCCACCGGCTGTAACAAAATCCCAGCCCCACCGGCTGTAATCCCAGCCCCACCGGCTCCCCTGCCCGCTAGGCAGTCAAGCTAAAATTTCAAAGGAAAAACACGTGCATCTGTCGTCACACACATTCAAACAAATACAGGAGGCAGATAGACAATCGACAGGTTCGCATAAAAGGCACACCGGATGAGTTAGTTACCTGTCTCTAGTAGCCTTCTGGAAGCCGGAAGTGGACTCGGAGGCAGACCGACACAAAACAGGAGAATAACACAGGCAACGGCTGTATT